TATTGTTTGGTTAAATAGAAATAAAATAAAAGTTAAATTTTGAGAAGTTTAGTTTTCTAAAAATAACACATAAAGATTATTTTTAATTTATTATTATTTTAATTATTTATTTGAAAACTATTGAATGTTTAGTTTCTTCTCACTTTCTCCTGCAAATTAATAAATCTTTTTATGTGAATTTCACAGAAAAAAAATTAAAATCACGCATTCGAATTTAATTTCCCTCAACCATGATCATCTCAAAGAGATATGCATTAAAATATTTGTCCCAAGAAATAATTCCGCTCTTTACTTTTGCTATCTTCATTTCACTTGTTTTTTTTTTGTTTTTTTTACTTACACTAGACCTAAAGTTAACAAATAAAAAAGGTGTTAAAATGTAAAATAATAATAATAATAATAATTGGCTTAAATATGTTTTTAGTCCCTCAAATTTAAGGTAAATTTATTTTTAGTCCCTCAAATTTAAAACTGTTATTTTTAGTCTCTGTAATTTTCAAAAATATTGTTTAGTCCCTTATATCACCAATAACATATTTGTAAGTGACTAATTAAGGTTATGTGATATTAATCAGATTTAATGTGATATTTTCACTCATAGGAATACAGATAGATAGATTTTATGTAATAATGTTTGATAAATTTCTTAACAAAATTTAAATATAAAGACTAAAATAAGATTTTTTGAAATTACAGGAACTAAAAATAACAATTTTAAATTTGAGGGACCAAACCTTAAATTTGAAGGATTAAAAACATATTTAAGCCATAATAATTTTATTCGATTAAAAAACATATTTTTTCTCATCGAATTAATTTCCATAGAAAATAAAGTTTTATCTGTAAATAAAACTTTTAAATTGAAAATATAATTTATAATCGTGAATTCAGGAATAGAAGCTTTAGTTGAAAAAAGAACTGAATGTGAAGAGTGACTTTGGTGGGAGTTTAATAAGGTTTAGTTAAAAAGTAAAAGAAAAATGTGGAAAGAGAAGTTTGCTACAGTATTGCTGTTGTTAGTTGTTACCTTAAAATGAGAAGTGTGTTGGGTGGGGAGCGGTTGGAACGAGGTTTGGTTAAAAAGTTAAAAGATACGTTAAGAGTAAACAAATAAAACAGCGCAGAATCCAAGCATAATTAATTTAGAAAACAGTACACATGGGGCTCCACACTCCACAGATAAGGATGAGGTACCATAAGCATGAGCATGAGCATAAGCATAAGCATAAGCATGCATTAATTAATCTCCGAGACACTGAAACCGCTATTCCATGTGATGCAGCTGGTGAAGCTAATGAGTTTTGAGTTCACCTTGTGAAGTGCTTTATTTGACAGTGCAGGCCAACCGCAGAAGCCCATGACCTGAGATGTTGTTTCATTGCCACGTCATCATGAAACGGAGGCATCTCATTCTTATATTTGTTGTATCCATGAACCACGTTCCCCACTTTGTTCCACTTCCTCCTCTTTCTTCTTCTCTTCTCTTTCACCGTTTCTGAGTCCCCAGCCACCCTGCCTCTCACTTCTGCACATTCCGTTGCCTCTTGATGATGAGTCAAAGAGGGTACACTGTCTGTGCTGCTCAAGATGTTGCTGTAGAACCAGAGAGAGTCTAGGCTTTGCGAAACCCGTGAACCATCCATGATTTTCTATGACCATGTAGCTACCTTGTGGAAATGCTCCAGTAATAAATGCAACACCTTTATATTCTTTTGCAGACTTCAAATTTTGGACGTACCCTATTTCAGTGAACAATGAGAACTGCAACATTCTCCCTCCATCAGACCAAAATGCCCTTGCTTCTGAGCTGTATTGGGTGAGCCATGAAGAGGATAGTTTGGTCTCATTAGAAAACTATAGCTAGTGCAACACAACAACACAGTGGGCGCCCAGGCGTTACTTTTAGTTTAGCATCGTCAATGGACCACTGCATACAGTACCTGCACTTTCCATATATCAAAACAGATATTTCTTTTCTTTTCTTTTCTTTAAAATCTTTACTTCGGTTTGCCTCATACCACTATGCATTATAATTATTTTCCTATATAGTTTAAGCTAATAGTCAGTTTGCTAAAAGTTTCAAGAGAATATGTAACTCAGTAATTGTTCACTAGTGTTTTAAATTTTTTAACTTTTAAAAACTAAAAATCTTCAACTACAATTGATACAATATAAATAAATAGTGTGAGTAAAAATAACAATAAAATATTTTGAGCTTAATGAATAAAGGATCCGCATAAAATTCAAAATTTAACCGTGTGTTTTTACTTTTGTTAAAAAGGAAAACAAAAATATGAAATCTTATATATACTTGGGTGCTAGCCAAAGTGACTGCAAAAGCATTTTAGAAGATAGGTCTAAAACTTCAGACGCTTAAAGTGTTAGAACTAGAAGAAAAAAAAGTGTGACCCAAGTGGTAACAAATAAAGAGTACCCTATGTTGTAACGTTTAAAGCGACAGTCCACAATTTTGGTCCAGTCTCCAGAGTGCCTAGATCCATGACCCTCAATTTCTAGATTTCAATGCTAAGCATGGTGTGGACAAAGCAAAAGTCTTGACTTGGGTAGAGGTGTCAAATCAACTGGTTGGATGGCAACACACATGTGAAATGGGCAGAGTTAGGTCGGCCCGAATTCTTAATGGGTTATTAATTTTATGGTCTAAATCTAATAGTTAGTATGGGAGATCATACTAAATTAAACTGGGTCATTTTTTTAATTGATTTTTTTTATATAAAAAAGACAATTTAAGTACCAAACCAAATAAGTATGATGGTTTTGTATCTTCAAATAACTATTAATCCATTTAACCGATTAAATTGGACCAATTTAATTTATCAAGTTTCGTTAATTTAAACTATTTTTTTTAAGTCTAATCTGCCATGATTTGTTAGACCACATCATTTAAAACAACTCTAACTTTAAGCACTAAAAGTAAAATGGTCTACTTTTATATGTATAAATGTGAAACTAAAGGAGCAACAAATGATTTGTAGTTTAAAATAAATATAAAAAAATTCATATCAATGATACCATCTTCTATCTAGTATAAGACTTGGGAAAGGATCTTACAACTTTAACGTAATATACATCACATTTTTACCTATTTATCTATAGTTTTAATATTTTGTCGATTTACCATTGGTCCGGGAAGATGGACTCTTAATAATTGGATTCTTGTATTTCAAATCAACTTTCTTTTATGTTAATTAACAATCCCACTATATTAATGTGCTTCATGTTTTCTTTAGTTGGTCATTATAATATATTAATTGGTTTTTGATTCTATTCGTGATTGAAAATTTTGAGTATTTAAATTAATGCATGCCATGTTTGTATGGTTTAGAATTATAACTTCATCATCATATATTTAGATGAATTAGTACTTAAAGACATCATTAGATCTAGGATTATTAAAGAATTATAACCGATTTGTCTAAAGAGGCTTCGATATGAGGAATTGAAGTGTCTAATTTTATTAATTTAAACTTTAATTTCATGAGCCTATGAAGTCATTTCAATTCCACATTGTGCCCTCTATAGTTTCTCAAGAGTCACCCATAATCTATGGTGACCCTTCACATAAGCTACCACCATAATGCACTAACTAGCCCAAGAACACTGTCGAGGGTTGATCCATCACCTTAATGCTCTCACTCAGATTACAAGCTAGAGTTACCTAGATTGGCAAGATTAGGAACCATCTCATTCGTATGCTTCTATCTTGAAAATAATAAAGGCATTCACTTCTAAGGAGTAGCTTTAATTTAGTTTTCCAGCATACCTTCTTCAGGGAAGAGAATCATGTTACCGATTCTTTGATAAAACTTGGAGGTGCTCAAGAGTATGTTTATTTGATTTTTAATACTTGTTAGTCGGAATTCAACAACTTTTTGTCTGCTGGTGATGCTGGCTTTGCTTTCCCTAGATTTCGTTAGCTTTCTTTTACTTTTTTAGTTTTTAATGTATAAAAGAAAACTTCAATTTACCTGTGTATTGAATTGAATACATTTATACTTATCTGTTCTTAGCGGAGATCGGTCGTAGGGGACGATCTGCTGGGTAAGATCAGCGAGCCTCCTTTACTGGGTACGCTTGTTGCTCCAAGATGAGGGTGATACCTGCAAAAGAGATTTCGATGCTAAAGTTAGTGTTTGTAGGTATATGAATCTCGTATAAGTAATACACGTACCTTTGTGTGAATTTAGAGTTTTATTAGGCCTTGGGCTTGAGATCAGTTCATGACCTATTTGGATGTCGAGCTGACGTGGCCTAGCGCGTATCCGAAGTCACGCCGTGCTGAGATGTACAGATAGTACATTATCTAAATTAAAAACTAAAATAAATTAAATAAACAACTTGTAATTTTTAGTTAAGTGTTTGTTAAATGAATAAACAAATGAAGAGGAACAATAACAACATATTTATTAAAAATTATAAAATTACATATAAAGTTTATTAAATAAGAAATGACGAGACCCATAAATTTGATAATTTTTAATAAATTGTAGCAAATAATATGTACAAATGAGTTTTTTTTTTTTTTTTTTATAAATAATGTGCGTGAGTAACATTTCTTGACAAACTAATCTATTTATTTATATAAAATATTAAATATACTTATATTTAAAGTTTTCTCAAACTTTCAAAGTAAGAGTTAAAGAAAAAAAATTAGCTTAGTGATAGATTATTTTGAGCGAACCCTACCCCGCTAACATGACGAGTTTATCTAAATAAATTTGTCATAAATATTTATAAAATAAAAAATAAAAAAAAACTGATAAATTAAAATTAATTATGCTAAGCTAAATTATAATAATTTTTCTAAAACTTTTTTTAACATTGGAGAATCTAATTTTTTTTATGTAAGTGTTTTTGGATTAAAAGTTGATAAACTTATTCAGTACCAAAATTAATAATTAGATGATAATATAATTTTTTTATATATAAATTACATATATTTTCCATTGAACTAGGATAAAAATCCATTAACCCGATGAGCCGTTTGAAATACCGAGGTGAGCATATTCCTCTGCTTATGAGCCGACTTATTTCCTTTCCTAACTCTTATCTTCAATGTCCCTTGTAATCCCCTCATCCTCTGCAGCCCCTTTGCATTTTTCTCAATGGGAGATTAACCATTTCAATTCCCACCAAAAATTTGCCTCCAACGCCTCCACCCCTTTTCAACTTAAAATGGGTTTCAGTTGTAAAATGAGGCATATAAGGGTCTATTCCAGAAATGAGCCAAATTTTCTTCATAAGTACAGAGTTAGGTGTAAGGAGCATGATTTTGAGTCGAATAAAGATGAAAGTACATCCCTGGATTGGGATGATGATGATGACGAAGAAGTTGAAGATACGGGGTCGCCTTGGGAAGGTGCAGTCATATACAAGAGAAACGCTTCAATTTTGCATCTGGAGTACTGCACTACCTTGGAGAGGTTAGGTCTAGCAAAGCTCTCAACTGATGTCTCAAAAACTAAGGCTGCTGTTATGGGATTGCGTGTTACGAAAGCTGTGAAGGACTTTCCAAATGGCACTCCTGTTCAGATATCTATAGATGTGACCAAGAGGAAGAAGAAATTGAAGCTTGATGGGATCGTAAAAACTGTCATCTCCCTTCTTTGCAATAGGTATTACTATTACCTTCATGACTATACATTGCCTATGCCTACTCTCGAGTTAATAAGCAAAAGCATCGGCATGTTCATAGACTATTCTCTCCACATTGATCGCTTATCCTAAATTAATGAACTTGCTATTACAATGGTGGCATCAGCATATTTCGTTTCTTATTCAATTTGAATTTTAACCTCTAAGAATTGCAAGTGTGAAATTGCTAGCTTGATTAGACAAAATTATCATGAAAGCTGAGCTTTTGAAGGCACGAGGGTTTTATTAATGACATGAGAAAATATTCTTTTACCAATTTAGATTGTAGTGACAAAATTCTATCTACTTGCCACATCAATCTTGATGAGGCAATAGGTGGTTTCTGTCCTTAGTATTTCAGGATTTCAATAAGTATTCCTGGGAAGTGGGAAAGTGTCACTTGTTACCTGTCAGTTTAAGAATTAAAATGTAAGGCACAGGATGATGTGCATGTGCTGTATAGACTATATGCATTCCTTTGTTGCTTCTGTCAACGTGAGTTTACTCATCTACTACATCTACTACTGTCTAGAAGATATATAGTTTTACTCAGTTTGACATCAATCCCTTAGCTTTAATGCTTATATGTAATTTATTATTTTCTTTTGGAAAACAATAAATTGATTTTGTCAGTAATGAGATATAAATAGAATCAATTGGTAATATTTGCATCCTGTGGGTGTGAGAGCACTGTTACCTAAAAAATCTCCTACTCCTTCATATTTAACTGGCTACCATGGCATTTGGTATTTATTTTTTGAACCTGATGACTTAGTTTTGATAAACTTTTAGTTTTGTATGCTTGTCTTGTGCACATGTAAATAATAAGACTCATACCACTTTTTTGAAATTTGGAGTGATTGACTATGTTTGTTGTATGTCAATGAAATCAAGGAGGAAATAAACTAGAAATGCAATCAGTTGCTGATGTCTTCTTTACTTTGGAATATCATATATATATATATATATATTTTACTAGGTTTTTGATGGCCCTAAATATTCTGAAGAAGTAGTAGGGAAAGAAACACTAACATTTAAAGTTAAGTCATTTTGTGAGAAATTCTTCAGATTTAAAAGTCTCTACTGCACCAAACTTATAAAACGAAACCATTATACTCTGTTAAGTCTGACCAAATAAACCTGTGTAACATGATGCAACTCTCAGTCTCGCATTCCCTCTTTTGCAGAACTCATACATACAGAGGATAGAAATGCTTCTTTTCTTTCATGTACACTCTCTATTTCTTCATATATTAAGCTAACTATAATGAGAGAGAACAAAGGGGAGGTGACTAGTGGAGTTTCTATGGTTTATTTTTAGGGCAAATTATGCTCACTCCTCTTGAGATTTAATGAAATTACACCAAATACCCCTCCTTTTTTGACATTACTTTCACCGCCCTTGATCTATATTACTGCATAAGAAATTGGGGTAGGTCTTTGTTAAGGAAAATTGGGAAGGGTATATGGTGTGTTAGTTATATAATTGTGTGGTCTGATGTGGAGTGAAGGTGCATAGATCTTACTGAGGCAAATACAGAAGTTTCATTGAACTAATGGATTTAAAATTAAATTACTTTGATATGTAAATTGATAGTACAGATTTTTCTGACATGGTTATCAGTCATCAACTCACCCTTTCACAAAAGTCTGTTCAAAATTGTTTATGATGTGTGGTGTAACTAGATTTATATGCTTCGTCCAGAGCCTTCTTTATTTCCAATGCAATACAACTATACAATTGCTTTCTTCCCAATGTTATCACCCCCTCTCTGCTCTCCCTGCCCCCCTAAAGTAGTAAATGTATAATGGTTGCTGATATTCTTTGGACTTTTGGTTGACCTAACACCAAGTTGTGAACTGGTCTGCTATGATTGGTTTGTTTTGTGAACAATACTTTATTGTCAGAGATTGTATTACATTACTCATCTCAATTTATTAAATCTCACACCAATGCTTCATTGGGGGTGTTTGGTAGACAGAAAGTTTTTTCATACTCGAGAATCACACTCTTGAGAATGATTAAAATCTATTTGGTTGGTCACAAAAGTTTTGAGGAATATTTATGATGCTACCTAAAAATCAAATATTTTTACTGCATTAAATAGACAAATAAAGTTAATATGACATTTTTCCATGATTCTTACTGCACTAAATAAACAAATAAAGGTAGCATCACATTTTTATTGGAATAAAAATTTTCATTTAACTCAGAAATGTAAGATTTTTACCAATCCCCATGGGAATGATTTCATGGGAAACATTGGTAAAAAACATTCCCAAGAAATAATGTTTCTTAGGAATGATAAATTTTAACTAGTAAACCAAATGTGAGAAACACGCTTTCACAACTTCAGATTTCTGAGAAAGTAAAAACAATTTTTGCACCAAATGGCTCCTAGGTGTAATAACATGGAAGTTCCTGGGTGATTGAAGTAACGATATCTCATAAGTTTACAATAGCTGCTGACAAGTTAATTCCCTTTAGGTGTCAGGATGCTGTGCATCGCAAGTACCGCTTATATGTCATTCAACTGACTGAGTTATCCAATATTTTACTGGATAATTATTTTAATGTTTCATTATTTCATGAGGTAGCCAATAGTAGTTTCATTCAAGTACTTCTTATTGAAGAAACCAAAAGGCAGACCAAGAGAATAAAAAAATATTTGTTGTCTCCATTTGAAAATTAAAAAAAATAAATTTGATACATAGTAGGCACCTGCCATATTCTATAATGCATTATTTCCACAACATAGAATAACTTGTTTCAATGTCATTTTCTATTGAAGGTGTGGCATGCCATCTGGTGAGAGCATATTCTCCGAGTTCACTCTTTTACTCACTGATGAACCCATTAATGAACCCGAGACTATTGACATGGGTGTCATTTTTGGGGAAGACAAACTTACAACCCCTGGAAACAGTGGTGAGGAGGACGACGATGAAAATGATGCACTTATTGACTTGGATGATCGACTATATTTTCCTCCTGAAGAGAAACAAATTGACATTTCAAAGAACATAAGAGATAGAGTGCATCTTGAGATTACCATGAATTCAGTATGTGATCCTGGGTGCAAAGGCATGTGCCTGAAATGTGGTCAAAACTTCAACACTGGCAATTGCAATTGTAGCAAGGAGGAAATAAAAGAAAAAAGCTATGGCCCGCTTGGTAATTTAAAAGAGAAGATGCAGTTGTAGCATTTATGAAGTTCATGTGTAGGATTTGCTCAGTGCAGAATCATTGTGTAGAAGTCCCGACCTTAATGGATTTGATGTACCAACATTATCCAGAGCCCACCAAGAGCTCTCGGATCCATGATCTTACATGGACATGGATGATGGATGTTATAGATCTTTACCATGGTGCATTTTTCTAGTTGCAGTGATGCCTCAAAGTGCCTTTGGAATGCTTCTTTCCATTTGTATTAGCGCAGCTTTTCTAAATATCTATTGCTTGGTTCTTTCTTGCTAGTCCCTATCTGCAAAATCAGAAAAGGATTGTAGCGATTTGCAATTTAAATGATTTTTTTTTTTTTTTTTGTATTTTTAAATTTCAACAACAGTGTTGGTAATATCTGCAAGGAAGTCTTAAAAGAAGTTTAACTTAAATAAAGATGCTTATGTTCGATCCCAATGTATGAGGGGAGATTTATCTCAAGTTTTCCGTTATTGGGCTTATGCATTTTTAGCTTGTCCACATGGTTTTCACCATGTTCATAATTGTATTGAAACTTGCTTTGCAATGGAAATCATGAGTTTGTTTCAGTAAGAAAAAAACACTTATACACACAGATAGTACCATTTTAGTGCTTTGTCATAGCTTGCGACCCATAGTTTGTAACTTCATAAGCAACTTAAAAAGTGTATTTGAATTAGGGAACAATTCAGGTTCATTTTAATATTCTTTGTGCTTCAATGCTCATGTATGCTTATCATTTATCTTTATACTTTATGCACTATATTTATATGCTTATCATTTTGATAGCATTTCATTAAATAAAACAGTACTAACAACATTGGTGATGCTAAAAGCATATTTGCAAACTCTGGTTGATAAACAATGTCATGTCATAAGTACGAGATAGTAAAATTCTTCGCTTCAATATTAAAACCCGAAAAATTGTTCACTCGTGAATCGACATGTACTAGTATAGTTTAAGAATCACGAACTACTTATATCCAAAAATAAATTTATACGACTGATCTCAGCCTCTCAGATGTCTATGAGCCAATAAAAGGTTCCATTTTGAAGAAGAAATCGGTAAAAGGCATAAAATATTATTTTATTTTAGATACCATATTTGTATAATTTTAGATATTGTATTTGACTATATATATATATATATAAGAGGAGGGTTTAAATGATATCCGTATAATTTTTATTAAGTATTATATCATTCAATAATTTTATATTAAATATAAATTTTATAAATCTAACCGTTAGATTAAAAATTCTTTATTTTTAGATTATATATACAAAATTTTATGTTAATTATAAATAATTTGATATTTCATTTTTATAAAATAAAATTAACATAATATATATATTTTAAAATATAATAAAATATAAATACTTTGACTATCTTCAAGTTGTTGTCTAATTTTAGCAAAATTTGATACAAACTTATAAAGTGATATGAAGTTATAACTCAATGATTGGATTTATAAAATTTATATTTAATATAAAATTGTTGAATGGTGTAATATTTAGTAAAAATTATACCGGTGTCGTTTGAATTCTTCTTTATATATATATATATGTGTGTTTTTTTTTATTTGAAAAAAATATATATCAAAAGACAAAGGATGTTCACATGGTAGACAGATAGATACATGGCACTCTTCTATATGATTTAAAGATAAAAAGGAGCACGTGATAAGAAAATGAACCTGACATGGCAGAATAATTTTAAATCATAATGATTCAGTAGAACAGAGGACGGGTTATCACAGAGGGAAAACAGGAAAAAATCACATAAAGCACAAGAATAGTTGCAAATTTTGCGATCTTTATTTTTATTGATCACTCATCATTTTCCATGTGCTTCTCTCGTTACTTAGGGAGTATTTCCACATATATGTCTTGCAACTGCCAATGGTCACGTGACAAAAATGAAATTACACACGCATATATTAATTCATTCATTCTGTATTATTAAATAATTCTTTTACTATGTAACCAAAAATAATTCTTTTACTAGATAATTTATACGAAATAATTATTGTTATATTAATTCTTCCATCAACTATATACAATAGAATACATTTTTTCTTTGTACATATTTCTTCAAACTATTTTAATCTTAAAACAATATCAAACCACTCACACACTCTTGTTACAAACCACTCACTTTATATAATTTATATTATCTCTATTTTATATTTTTAAAATAAATAAATTGAGACATAAAATGTCTCTTTTCTCGTAGTTTATATAATATTTATAAAATTTCATATCAATTTAAAATTATTTGACTGTTATTAATATACCTTAAAATTAATGTAATATATATACTTTTAAAATAAATAAAAATAAAGTTTGTTTCATCATACCTAAGTTGATATTATTAATATTTTAAAATATATACCAGAATTTTTTAGTTACTCTTTAGATTCTCTTACATTTTTTTTTTAAATTTTGACTAAGAATATATTTTAAAATATGAAATTGGATTTTGTCTCCCCCAACAAAAATCTTTTTTGGTATACATGGTCACCATTGAACATGAACTCTGCTGACCTTTTTGGTAGATGCATTTGTTCAAGACAGGAGAACAGGTTTTGCTGTGTATTTGGATGGTTGACAAAGTATTGGATCATATCAGTGTATCAGTTGTACAACATGCGTGATATTTAGTAGAATTCACTAACGGAGAAACAATCAAAAGCTTCTGAGGGCTGGCAATCTCTTAATCTCCCATTACTGTTCTGCCAATCAGCTTTTACCTATGAACTAAATTCACCATCTTATTCTCCAAAACTCTATTTTGAAGTTTGATATCTATCAATTGCATCATAAATTCTTTAGCCAAACAAGCAAAAGACAAAAACAAAGTTTGTCCACCGTTAACCTAACATAAGAAGCAGAAATATCCACACCCGCCATCAGCACCACAACAAAATTTACCCAGGACCTACCGAAGTACAGATTGAGCCAATAATTCTGAAATGCAGAACGAAATTTCTTTTCTTTATGTCTAGAATTACAGGTAACAAATTTGTGCAATGACTAACTCCAGGAAGAAAAAATCTAAATGGGAATAAGTACATAAAAAAATGGAAAAAGAACAAGGAAAATGTATATATGAAGGGAAAAAAGAAAATGGACTATGAACATTGAACAGCATCATCTGACAGTGGAAGCAACAGTATGAGCCCACCATCTGAGACTATCTTTCATGTCAGTTTCATTGTTGAAAGCAGGCATTTTCCAATTCACTAAGGGGTTCTCTTTTTTTCTCCTATCATATTCCTGAGCCTCCCATGCTTCAGAAAGGTAAGGCCTTGGAACACTTATCTCTTCACAATCATCTTCTTGATCCTCTTCCTTCTTCCCTAGCCTTTGTAACCCAGGAATAATTGAAGCCAAGCTTGAGTCTTTATCCTCCTCTGAGAAAACAAACCCCAGATCCATGAACCCTTTTAGCTCCTCAAATTCAAGGTCTGACAAACTCTTGCTTTCCCTTCTCTTCCTAGCTCCATGGCTTGAGATTTTCTTGTTCTTCTTTGGACACGTCACCTCATCATGGTTCTCAGGTTCTGAATCTGTGACTTCTTTTCCTGAGAGAATAGTTTGGAGCTTTGGATGGAGAAGAAGCACAGAGTCTGGTGAAAGAGATTCATGGTTGAAGCTTGTGGTTGCGATGGATTGGTCACTCATGGATCTGGTGTGGCTCGTTCGGATCAAGGGTAGCTTTGGTTGTTCTTCTTCTTTTTCTTCTTCTTGTTTTATCTCATAATCTAGACTTTCTGTAGGACATGTAATTGATGTGTGAGGGCTTGAATTTTTCTTCAAATTGTTAACCTCAAACCAGAGAGCATCAAAGAGTTTGAAGACAGCCTCCGGTTCCATGGCGGCTTCGGAGGAAAATCAACGGAAACCTTTGTGAGTTGCGTGTTAGAGGAAGTGAGTTACCTAGGCCATGTAGATAACTAGAATATATATACCATATTTTATGACCATATTGCCCTTCCTCTTACCCTCTAATTACAAGAATTCAAAACCAATTATTTACACGTTTTTGAATAGAGTAGTTTCAGACATTTCATTTTCAATGCATGTGTGATATAATATAACTTTGTTGGAATATTATATTTTCTATTTTGCCGAGTGATGAAAAGTATGTTTCCGTGTAAAGGGAAATAATGTTTGGAATGAGGCGGGTTTATGGAGAGGTAAAAGGAACTAAGGAAGGGTTAGTTGATTGGGGTGGAACAGTAAATTGTGGATGCTACTAGATAATGCTAGATATAAGGTTGGAGGATTGTTGACATCAAGTTACTTATCAACACTCTTAGATTCTGACATTTTGCTGGTTTTCATCTCTTCTTGTTTGTTTGATGATTACACCAAACAGTTTTGATGTAAAATTAATGGCTCTAACTGCAGCAATTATTGTTAGTTGCTTCCAAATTACACAAACTTGAAATGCCTATGTCACTGTGGTTGACTGGTTGGCATTTGCTTCTTAAGATTTTCAAATATAAAACTCGAATTCAAGATCTATTGCTTGTTTTAGTGGCTTTTTTTTTTTTTTTTTTTCTCTCTCTCATTTTTCAGTTTTTAACCTTTGTTGCCCCAATCATCTTACCTCTTGTGATAGACTGTGATAATTGAAAATAAGTTCTTTTATATGTAATAAATTTAAAATGTAACATGTTAAAATAACGGGAAAATTCTTAAAATTTTAAGATGAGATTTGAACTCCTTACCCTTATTTCTAAAAATATACTTAACCACTTTCATTAACACAAAAATAAAAGTTATATATATATATATATATATATATATATATATATATATATATAAAAAAG